GACTGTTCAGTAAAGTGGAATCCAGGGCGTCCCTGGGTGCCTTGAACACGCGACCATGATCTGAGTGTCTATTCAGAGGGCCAAAGCAGAGAGAACTCAGTTGCAAGTGATATGGTTGGACCTCGCCGGTGCCTATGGGGCGGTTATCCATAAGCTGTTATGGCAGGCTTTTCGCTTGTTCCACGTACCGACACAGATCACCGAAATGATCAAGCAATATTTCTCAAAGTCGACGCTATACGCTTCTCTACTCCGACGTTTACTGCGAGATGGACTGAGCTCCAGGTTAGGATTGCAATGGAATGTACGATCTCGCTAATACTGTTCGTTATGGCCATGCAGGTCATGTTAGACCGGGCGGCCGGCTACGGACAAGGCCTTCAGATTAAGGACCACTGGATGCCACTACGTGCATTTATGGATGACACAGCTATAATTACGGGCAGTGAGGAAGATGCCTGCACGATTCTGAAAATATTGGACGACGTAGTCTTATAGTGCGGTATGCAGTTCAAACCGCAGAAGTCGAGGAGTCTGTCAATCTTGAAAGGTAAGGTGGCGGCGATCAGTTTCATGGTGGCAAGTAAACTGATCCCCACGGTTCTATAGAAACCGGTGAAGAGCTTTGTGTGCGTTTACGATTCGAAGTTGTCTGATCAAGCGGCGGTCCAGCGAATACATGAGTCACTGGCTCCAGGTCTGCTCGCGATCGAGCGTTGCAGGCTAATTTGAAAGTTTAAGGTCTAGTCTTTCCAATTTATGTTGATCCCAAAGCTCCTCTATCCGCTGCTCGTCTACGAAGTGACGATGACGACAGTGGAGGCAATAGAGCGCAAAATCAACACAGCTATGGGGGAAATGGCTGGGAGCACCACCTTGTCTGACTGATGTGGCTCTGTATTGTAAGCAGGACTAAGGTGGTACTCCCGCTCAAATCAAAAACCAAAGAGTTTAAAGTTATCAAAGTAAGACTCTCGATGATGCTGCGCGAGTCTTCAGACCCCAAGGTCACTGTTGTCCAGCTCGCTCTAAAGACATGTCAGAATTGGAAGGTCCTAGATGCGACTGAATCTGCCTAAGATGCAATGAAATTGAAAGAAGTGATGGTTTACACACAAACCGACCGTCGAGGCCTAGGGCACGGGAAAGTCAGTTGGTGGTCCAAAGCCACAGCCAAAGAGCGCCGAGACATGAAAAAACAGCAGATAAGGGACGCCGAAAACGAGATTCGGGTCCAAAATGCCGCTCAACAATCACAGCAAGGTCAGTGATCGGCCTCGAGAGCGCCTTGCCACGAATACTCACGGGGGTGAGATCTAGCGAATGGCTGCGGCTGAGCTTTATCGTACCATCTGCATACGATGTGTTACCGTCCGGTGTCAACATGATCGAGTGACATGCGGCTACCGACCCGGCAGGCCCACAATGCAGAGCTAAACAGACGCTCGAGCACGTACTCTCCGCGTGCAGATAAGCTCTAGGTCAGGGAAGATATACTTAGCGCCACAACAAGTTCCTGAAAAAGTTTGCGGCCGTTGTGGACCAAGCTAGGATAAGGCCCAATGCGAGGGCCAGTTCTACCGTTGTCCCCGTGCTCTTCCTCAAGGCTGGGCAGATTTATAAGAGTAAATTCTACTTAGGTCGCATACGCTCCATCGATGCTTGACTATGCTAGGGACTGGCTATTGGCGGTTGACCTGCCTGGTCACGAAACGTAACCAGAGTTAATCCAGAAGACCAGCCTGCGACCTTATAAAGCACTATACTCTGCGGAGAAACGAAAGCTCGTCCTGACTGAGCTAACCGTGCCGTATGAGTCACGATTGGACGAATGTCAAATGTAAAAGCTCGAGAAATACAGTGACTTTGCGGCTAGTCTGTGGAGAATAAGAATTTTCGCCGTCGAGGTATGCACAAGAGGTGGTATGCACAAGAGGTCTCATCTCCACTTCCATGTACAATATGATAAAGCAGCTAGGCTTGCTAGGAAACGAACGCAAACGATCACTAACACAACTGGCCGCTAAGCTGCTGAAAGGGCTTCGAGCTGGCTCCGGACACCGCGGAACGTCGTGGGGGGGGGGGGGGGGGGGGGGGGCGTTCTATTTACCTGGTACCCACTTAAACCTGGGTCGACCTGGAAGCCAACATTTTTTTTACGGTCCAGCTCCGTCAAGACCTGAAGCCACGAACTTCAGATCGGCAGGCGAGCGTCAAGCCGCTACACCACAGTGGCTTATATCAAAAGTGACTTCAAAGTCGATATTTATATTCATCAATCAGCACCCTATCAGTTCTATAGCTAACATCACCCATTGTGTACTTCCCATGACATGTCCTGGTACGCATTTTAAGCTGGTTCAGACTAGGTATCCAAGTGGAGGACCAAATCCGCCATTGTGTTGATTCGAACTTGATACATTCATACCGAAAAGCATGCGACTAACCACAGAACGAAGCCGTCCTCCCATAACTAGTTTTAAAAAAGGTAAGGACCCTTTTCCACGCCTTTAGGCGTATAGAGCATATAGGGCTAGACCTATATCTTTATAGACCAATCGGCACAAGATGGGTGATGTTGTCAGCATCACGCCGGTCGCCTTTACTTCTCGGGACTGCACCCGGTACCCAATCAAGGCTTTGTCGACCTGGAGCCAAGGTCATTTTTTAAAATAGTCAGGCTCTTCCAGGGAGCGAAACCACGACCTTCTGATCCACGGCGAGCGTCTAGCCGCTCGGCCATGGTGACTCCCCACATAACCAGACATGATCATTATTTGTTTCAAATGATCGACAATAATAGAATCAGAACGTGTTAACAATAAACACGAGGAATAGAACAGCTCTACTACCCACATTCGCAGTTCATCTCAATACGTAATTATTGTGTGTTTGTTTTTACCAAATTTCAGTTAAAAACGAAACCTGTTCTTTCAAATCATTTGTTACCAAGGTTAACCGACCTTGTTTTTGTTTTTTAGTTTTTGTTCTCCGTTTTCTGTCAATGAATTTAAATCTAAAGTACGTGATGAAAATTGCCTGGTTTTAACGTATTTCTAAAAAAAAAAGAGAAACCACTGTTTGTGGGTTGATAAATTGTCGATGCACGGTTTGTGCTGTTTCTCGCTAAATTATTTGATTACAGACATGTTTACGTGACGTGCCCTTTGTATTTTCATGTCTCTGCCTTTAGGATCTGAGTGGTTTCGAGGTATGACATTCGCCTCGAGTACTGGAGGTCCCGGGTTCAAACCCCAGTGAAGGCTGTGATTTTGTCACGTTGACTTCTAATAATTTTCCCTGATCTCTGGGTAGTAAGAGCAGACGCCCGTGTGTATTGGTGCGCATGTTAAAAATGCCTTGGCGATTGGAAATAAAACAAATTAGCCTAACGTCGATGCCCGGGAAAAATCTGGAGTTCAAGATCTACCCAAAGTATTTCAGGATCCACGCCGGTGCAACGGAGTTCGTGTACTGAGATTCTTCGGACTGAGACTTGAGTTAGAAGTAGAACAGCGCACTTATAGGTTACTACTCTTGTGCCATGATGTTGATCCGTTGTCTAGTACACTGCCACGACTGTCAGGACACACCGTGAGGAGCAGCTGGCCGAACGGTTAAGAACACTGGGCTTTACTGCGGGAGACCCAGATTCGCTGCCTCGGTAAGGTTGTAAATTATTTATTCCTTTCAGTCGTGTGCAAAAATAAAGACCCACCCTTCACAAGTCTGTACTGGCAACACTTGTCATACGGCCCTAAATCCACAGGCTCAAAGGACCGCCACCGCACCCCCCCCCCCCCCCCCCCGCTCCTTTCTTTCACACTTTACACCTCGAAATTGGTAAATGCAGACAGTATTGGCATTTTCCACACATGCAAACACACATGCATACACACCCAAATGTATATACACACACACTCTTGTCCATTTGTCCTGTTTTTATTCCAAAACAGGGAACTTTTGGCGACTAGAATATGTCGATATAAAGATACCAAGAATAAACGACAGTCATGCATTGATAACTTTAGAAGATGTATCATTTTGATTACTTTTTAATTTTTCCAGGGGCAACCAGGTCGTCGCAGCTAAAAATAAGTACTAAGAATTGTCTTCAGAAGTAAAGGGAGCATGGGTAATTTTGACCACTTTCAGTATCGAGCGTTGATTGATCCATAACGCTATTTGTTTAGAACCATATGCCCGATGCGACTATTGCGGGTTCTTTTCTTTTCTCCACCCTATCTATAGCATAAGGGTTTTAGGCTGTGAAATAACACCTTCTAATCCTCCACCCCACAGCTGGTGCCGTTAAATGTCGCGGGGAGGATTTAGATGCAGTTTCCTGTTATGTATTGGTTGCGTAGCTTGTATTGATCTCATATTGCGTTTCTGTAGTGTCTTTTTATTGTACTCCCACCCCATCTTCCCCTGCCATATCTTTATTATTCGATCTCTTACCTTGGCCGGAGTTACGTAACACGTGCTCTACGCTTGACGTCACATAACCAGATTGTGACCGGTACCATCAGTATTGGAACTCTGTGCTGGCTGCTGAAGATTGGGACGAAGCGCGCATGGGAATGCCCCGAGTGCTGTGGTGTCAATTCTTGACTCAACTCAACTTACAGCACGCTGATCTCAAGGCAAGAGGCCCGCCGAGATATAAACCAGTGGAGGGAGTCTGAATACATCAACAACAACAACAACATTATTATGATTAGTGTTATTATTATTTGGGAGTCGCTGAGGCAGTGCGCCTAGACACACGCCGCCGATCGGAAGGTCGTGGGTTCGCTCCCTGGCGGAGCCGGACTATTCTTCAAAAATGACCTTGACTCCCAGGTCGACCCAGCATTGAGTGGGTACCGGGTGCAGTCCCGGGAAGTAGAGGAAGCCGGCGTGATGCTGACCACATCACCCATCTTGTGCCGGTGGTCTATAAAATTTAGGTCTAGCCCTATGTGCCCTAAACTAATTATTATTATTTGTTATTGCAGATCGCAGGATGTGGACTCTTGGGGTTTGGTGTCTACGCCCGTACCAGCGAGAACCGTATGACCCAGCTGTCGTCGATACTAGGGTCCTACTACTACTCCACGCTATCCTTGGCGCTTATCATTTCTGGAGCTGTCATTATTGTCGTATCCTTCCTGGGCTGTTGTGGCGCTATCAAAGAAGTCAGGTGTATGTTGGGGACGGTAAGTGTTAAAATCACTGAACTGGAAATAGAATCTAGATGTGTGTGTTTTTTTTTTTTTTAATGTGTTCTTAATTTTATAAAATAAAATCATTTTATTTATAAACTGCAGGGGAATCACAGAGTCCACAGAGTCCCTGGGAATTCCCATTTACGAAGTACACTTTGCGGTAAATTACACTTTCCCCTGACACCGCAAGGTACCAGAGGATCTAGATGAGATGAGATAAAAGGAGATGACATTTTTCTCGGAAAGTGAAGTATGTTGGCCTTACCAAACGTCACTGGAGAATTGGAAAAAGACTATAGCGTAGTTCATGGTGCCGTGTGAATGAGGCAAGACTTCACCAACACAAGGAGGGACATAGGACATAAGAGACACATTGGACAGAGAGTTCTCTTGAGGCGGAACAACTAGTCAGTCGCCAAAGTTTCTTTCAGGCATGCTCTTCTGGGAAATACGCTCGTCAATGACCTGTTACATGCTCGTTTATGCGTGCACGTGTGTGTGTGCGTGCGTGTGAGTGTGGGTGTATGTGTGTGTATGTGTGTGTGTGAGTGTGTGTGGGTGTAAGTGTGTGTATGTTTGTGTGCATGTGTTTGGGTTAATAATTTTACTTCTGCCAAACAGGTGTCTTTTTCTCTATCCATTCTTCCTTCTGAAAAAAGACTCTTCACACCCAAATAAAATGTATAAATCGGCGACTGTGGCTTAGGCGTTGTCTTCTTCTTCTACTTCGCGGTCACCAGCTGTAAATTCTGGCGGAAAGTTCTGGTTGTTCATCCACTTCTGGACTGTAGTCCTGTTCCAAAACCTGAGTGTTGCGTGTGCATCCGTTTTACAGATCTGACTCATTTTGTGTGCAGACTACTGGTTCCTTGCCTCTTAGGCAGATGCACTCCGACTTCGAAGGAAGCTCCCAATTAGTCGACTCTTACGACATGCTTTTGGGTAAGCAGTGGGTCTATTCTTGTTTTATCTATAAAAGGGTCCCGGAACCCACGCGGGGTAGGCGTTTATATATATAATGGATCGAATTCTCTATAAGATCATTGCGTAGGCATATTATTTCCCTGTAGACATTTCAGTCAGCAAGTCCTCTACAAAACGTCGCTCTCTTCACGGCACGCCTTAAAATATCTCTTTCTCTAGCCAAAGTGCTTTTAAGGCCAATCCGTCTGCAATGTCCTGTATCCATCTTCGCGGAGGTCGACCCCTGCCTCGTTTTCCACAAACTGCAACCCCCATCACCGTCTTTTTCAAGCCACCATGACTTTTGATATGGCCAAAATACTTCGACTTTCGGGACAGGGCCCTGTTTATGAGCCAGTTCTCCCTGGTGTTTATTTAATTCGTGTAGACAGTCGAAGCTTTTCCTTTTCTTGGTCCATGGTATTCTTAGATTTTTCTGTAACATTTACATTTGAAAGCTCCAATCTTTTTCTTCAGTGACTGAATGAGAGTTCAGGACTCACAGCCGTAAGTTGCAACATGAAAAATGCACGATCTCAAGATTGTTTACTTTAATTTAAAGGGTGCTTGCCATAGGTTCTTCATGCTGTTTAATATCTGCATTGCTAATTCAAGTTCTTCTTATTTTTTTCAAGTAGTCGCCACTGTTGTTCGCTAAACAGCCCAAAGTGTTCAAAATATGTGAAATTTTCTATTCTTCATTTTCGATTGTGATATGTTGTTGATGTGCAGTGTTTACTGAGGGCATACTATTTTATTATTTTTTATTATTATTATTATTTTTTGAAATTCAGAAAAAGATTCACTTCTTCACTGTGCTTTTTGATGGCCAGAATCAATTGTTCTAAACAAACCTTGTACACTATTGGAAAAAAATAACCCTGTCGTCTGCATATCTGAGTTCTGGGATAGGATTACTTCAAATTTTTTGTGGATCGAAGCTCTCATATGACTCGTCGCTAAATGCGTTTCTCGCAACATTGTCAGCATTTATGTTTTTAAAAAAACGGGGCGGAGAAAGAATGCAGCCCCGTCTCACTCCTTTCAGCACTTGAAACTAAGCTGTTGTTTCACCAGCTACGCTGACTGCTGCTTATGTTGACACTAGGTTGAAACTAAGCTGTTGTTTCACCAGCTACGCTGACTGCTGCTTATGTTGACACTAGGTTGAAATATTTCCCCCTAAGATATCCAGAACACTTAGAGGAAACATTGTCTGCCTGGGATGTAATCACAGCCTAAGTGTATGTTCTCGTTGAATCATCACCTAGTTACATTCCAAAATACTTGCCTGAAAATGTGAAGTTCAAGCAGGGGGTTTATTGTGATTGTGAATAGATTACTTTGTAAAGGTGTAGATAAAGGTATCCACAGAAACTCACTTCGATAGATGCAATCTCTTTGTTTGCACTACCTTCCGGCCAAAGCGTCAAACTGGAAGAGTTAAAATGCAACCAAAGCTCACAAACCACCAATCAACCAATAGAAAGAAAGTAGGGTGATGATGAATCGATTGCCATGAAGACAATGTGAGCTTCGATTAACCCATTAATGTCGTCTCTCCACAGTTCTTCGTCCTAATTATGATGATGCTGCTGAGTATGCTCATAGGAGCTCTGGTGATCTACGTCTACCGGGACAATGTAAGTGTTAATGTGCAAGGTGTTTTATACTTAATGCTAAATACATGTGATGACAACAACAGTACTGACATCCCATCTTTGTAACTGTTGAAGACTTTTCTTAACGTGTCCCGGTCTTGCTAGTCACACTCGCCATCGTCATACCATGCCTCCTCATAGCATAATATACAACAATTGTCTAGAAAGACGTAAAGGTGCCAACAAAATCAGTGTACTTAATGAATGTCTTCGTGTCATTGGTGCTGCAGGTTATAGATTCGGAGAATTGGTATAAAGTTTTTAAACATACAACTATCCTTTTCCAAATGTGTGCAGGTTTAAAGCTTCTAAACATACAACTATCCGTTTCCAACTGCGTGCCGGTAGGAAGTTTCTAAACATACAACTATCCTGTTCCAAATGTGTGCCTGTATAAAGTTTCTTAATATATAACAATCCTTTTCCAAATGTGTGCAGGTATAAAGCTTCTAAACCTACAACTATCCTTTTTCCAAATGTGTGCCGGTATAAAGTTTCCTAAACATACAACTATACTTTTCCAACTGTGTGCTGGTTTCAAGTTTCTAAACATACAACTATCCTTTTTCCAAATGTGTGCCGGTATAAAGTTTCCTAACATACAACTATACTTTTCCAACTGTGTGCTGGTTTCAAGTTTCTAAACATACAACTATCCTTTTCAAAATGTGTTCCTGTATTAGGTTTCTAAATATACAACTATCCTTTTCCAAATAGGTGCCTCCTCCGCAACGTATACTCATTATTATGTGGTAGTTGACTCTTAACTTCCACGGCTAATTATAACTCCTATGTATTTTTAAAAAAAGTGGAAATGCCTCTTTTCAATGACCTCAAGTGTATTAGGCATGTAGTGATGGACCTATATTTTACAGACCAATCGAAATTCAGTGGATGAAGCGGTCAACATCACGCCGACTGCCTTTACTTCCCATGACTTTACCTGGTACCCTTTTAAACCTGGATTGACCTGGGAGCCAAGTTCAATTTTGAAAAAAGTTAGGCTCTGGTCGGATTTGAATCTACCTGAACGTCTAGCCGATACACTTCGACGTCTCCCTCCCATATCTAGATCTACTTGATATAACTGAGGGAAAAGTCCATTGTTTCTACTCACCCTTTGTCCGGAGATTTTGCAATGAAACATTGCTTAACAGCAAACCTCAACGACGATCACCCACTCCCGTTCATACAACCTCTGCAGATGCTGATTTCCAAGTCCCAAAATCGTTAACTGGATGCGAGTAAAGCTTAACATGGATTAGTTGACGACAACACAACTAGAGGGAGCTTACAGCAGCTACAGACATATTGATGTGGGATCGCCATGGCATTGTCTTTCACACAAACTCGGTGTTCTTTTGAAATCTTTGAAACACACACATAGCAACCTTAAAATTTGGAGAAGAATACGAATGCCATGGCTTCAGTCTCATTCAAATGTTCCTAATATTTCTTTTCTTTGTATGAACACAAAGAATTAGATATTTTTTTTCAGTCCCACCCATATCTCTAGACGTTTATTGATCTATTCAGGGAATATATTTCCAAGCTTCTTGTGTCTAATTTTCCACTTACTCTATTGCTTTTCTCCAAGTTGCAGGTGTGCTGACACAAGAAATCCTGGGGAGGGTGGCGATTAAGAACTCCCTCCCCTTTCCCCCAAATCTATATATTTCCAGTCAGAAAAGCGATTCTAATCCTAGCTTGGGAGTATAATAAAATTAATGGTAAAAATAATAATAAAGTGCGGAATGGTATGTCAATATAATAATATACTTGAAATAATAGGAAATATATAAACCACTTTTTTAAAAAGAATTTCTATACCTGATTAAAGGGGGCTGCCTGGCATTCTCACAAAATGTCTAGGGGACTCCACGTTGCCTGAGCTCCTGGGTACCCACAGCCCTCTCGGGCTGATACATTAACTGTCTCTGTCCCACGACCGTACTGGTTCTATTCCCCCAGACTCCAAGACCGTCCTTAATGCTTTCAATACCAGACACCTCACCAGACACTTATTGCTTACTCTATAAGTAGTCTGTATTTGTAACATTTACCCATCCAGTTCTCCTATTAGATTAACAGGTTTAGTCCCAGCTGTACTTTAATATATTCTATCGCATAATTTCATTATGTCAGCCAGTATGGACTCACATATTGACACTTTAAATTACGCAGACGTTGTAATTGAATAACAACTGTCTGGGACTTTATGCCAGATAGACAACGATGTGAAAAGGGTCCTTTACTTTATACCAGATAGACAGAGATGTGAAAAGGGTCCTTTACTTTATACCAGATAGACAGAGATGTGAAAATGGTCCTTTACTATATGCCAGTTAGACAACGATGTGAAAAGGGTCCTTTACTGTATGCCAGATAGACAGAGATGTGAAAAGGGTCCTTTACTTTATACCAGATAGACAAAGATGTGAAAAGGGTCCTTTACTATATGCCAGTTAGACAACGATGTGAAAAGGGTCCTTTACTTTATGCCAGATAGACTAAGATGTGAAAATGGTCCTTTACTATATGCCAGTTAGACAACGATGTGAAAAGGGTCCTTTACTTTATGCCAGATAGACTAAGATGTGAAAATGGTCCTTTACTATATGCCAGTTAGACAACGATGTGAAAAGGGTCCTTTACTGTATGCCAGATAGACAGAGATGTGAAAAGGGTCCTTTACTAAATGCCAGATAGACAAAGATATGCAAAGGGTGCTTTACTTTTACTTATTACTTATATATGTGGCTACCCGAATACATCTATAGATGCATTGTCTCCCTGCGCTGATAGGGATCTTCCTGGCAAAGGAGTTAAGTCGGTAAAACTGCACTCTGAAGGTCGCTGGTTCAGATGCGGACTCCGTTTTACTTTTTGCCAGTTTACGCGTTTCGGAGATCTCTGGGGTTGTCGATGGAACTATGGAGGTCCATGTTTTGAGTGACGCTTTAGGTAGGGAAACAGCTGCCCCTGTGAATAACAGGAATCATATGGGATACATCCTGGTAGAGTGTAGTCTATCTGCTAGTCTCTAAAAATATTTAAACATCCAAGTAGACCCCAGAACGTGTAGATTCTCTTGGTTTTCAGCATCATCATAATCATCATTATAGTTCCATAAACCGCCTGTTGTTGGTTCACCAGTTGCTGTTGACTGACTGATCTCTTTCCATCATCTGTATCGATTAGATGCCGTATACTACATTTTTGTACGTTTCAGGCATTCCCAGTCAGCCAAGTTGTGTATACATGCCTTTCTTGACCTGTCTCTTCTGCTTTGCACCTCTATTGGATTTTTTTTTTTCTCTCATATATTAATAACTAATTGTGACTGTCTCCGCAATCAAGGCCGGCTATAGTTAACTCACCGTTGTCTTGGTAAATCTTAGTGGAAGAGGTCTCAGCCTCTTCCGCAGAATGACTCATGTACTGTCGTCCGAAACAAAACTAGGAGAACGGTTTCTTCTTTTAAATAAACCATCCACCGAGAAAATCGAATCCTAGCAATTGAGGATCATGAAATTGTTTAACGCATTCACTAACCTCTAAGCTACACAGCCACACGGTTATAGTATTACACTAGCTCTATTACTTTGGTTGCGTTCCTTCATTCGTTCCTCTTCAGCAAAGTGTTTCTCTCCAGTATATGCTATACCAGTGTTTCCCAAACATGTCTTGGTCGCGGCGCCTTTTACCAATTAAAATTTGCCACGGCCCCCTAACCGAAGTAAAAGTATGATCACTCGTATCTTGGTTAAGTTAATTATGAAGCTTTTACAATATTTCGCGGCGCCCCTATGAAGAGGTGGCGGCTCCCCGGGCGCCGCGGCGCACACTTTAGGAATCATTGCGCTATATATTTGCAAGGGAAGAGGTAGAAGAGCAACGATAAACAAATCAAGCGTTGTTCCCTACACGTCTGTTGATGACAAGTCTGGTGAGATAAATGTCAGCTGTGAGGTAGACTCCTTCTTGTATAAAAGATGTCAACGACAAGAGAAGATGCTTATGGTTTTGTCTGACTTGATGCCAAGTGAGATGCCAAAAGATCAATACAAAAACCTGACATAGTCAGAATTTATTACATACACTTAGGATGTAATGATAACTATGCACGTTTTTTTTTTTTTTTTTTTGTGCAACAGATGGGGAACATTATTTTAAAAATGTAAATTTCCCAGTGTGGGTTCTGCGAACCCCTTCTGAGAAAGAACAAGAATAGACCCACTGCCTCCCTGCATAGCACGTCGTGCAATGCGAGTAATTATGGATGTTTCTTTTCAAGTCTGAATGCACCTGCCTTAGACGCCAGGAGCCAACCTTCTGCATGCAAATAAGTCCGATTTGTAAAGCGGATACATGACAAGGCAGATGTGGTCAAGGCCCGTTGGGAACAAACAACGGAATCAGTAGAGAAAGAAGATTATTATGGCCTGTAGAGAAGAAGGCACCTGGGTGTAACCAGAGGGTCTGGCCGGCTCACTACACTCAGAAGAAAGGCGAGACAGACTTTCAACCAGATTGTGACCGGTACCATCAGTATTGGAACTCTGCGCTGGCTGCTGAAGATCAGGACGGAGCATGCACGGGAATGCCCTGAGTGCTGTTATGTCAATTCTTGACTCAACTCAAATCAAGCGGATATGCAAGCAAAATCAAGTCCTGAAACAAGACTAAACTCCATAAATGAACCAACTACTAGATATTTCCGCCGGAAATAGCAGCTGATGAATGTTTAGAAGAAATAGGAAGAATAGTGTAAATATTCTAAAGACTGAAGAAACAACCAAAACATTCTTGTTAAAATTAATTAATCACACACAAAACAGCACTTTCCATTGTTGACTAAGACCATTTTAGGACCATCCGTCGTTTCCTTAACCTTGTCTACTTCTAACCCCAATGGAGCACAGTTTATCGACAAACTTGCCAAGTCCATCTAACTGTCTCGTGAAGTAATTGTTCGATTT